GACGACGAGACGAAGAGATCACCGTCGAGATCGCCGCCGTACGCCGCCGCACGCGCTGCCACGCGCCGCCGGAAGGTTCCAGCTGCCGAGGACAACGCGCGCGCGTGAGAGCGCATGGATCGACCTTTTTTTGACCGGTCAACGCCGTTGACTTCGCCGTGACGTCAGCTTTCTGGATTGGTCAAGTTTGTTCGATTCCGAGAAGATTTGATTTGCGGTCAACTGTCCGGGCCAGCCAGATCTACATAAATTTTAAGTAGTAAGTTTTCTTCATCAAACCTTTAGATCCGCTGCGCATAGGTTTATGTTGAATGTGTGTCCGTGATTTGTGCATATCGAGATCCTCGTGGGTTCCAACACCTTTGATGTCGTGGGACCCAAAGACTCACGCCGAAATTGCATCTCTGCCTGATGATCAAAAGTTCAGCTATGCCCGAGGTTGCTTAGGACGGGCGCTGGTTAACTTTATTGCTGCCGAAGAAAGTTATCGGGGAAGAGTGCATGAATTAGATGATAAGCAGCACGAGCTAAGCTTGGAGGAAGGTGCAATTGCTTCCTTAGAGGACGAGAAGTCTCGTTATGAAGCGTTGATGTCAGAGAAGGTTACTCAACTGAAAGCAACGCAAACCGAGGTGAATGCTCTTAAGACTGAGTGTGAGAATCTGTTATTGGCTCACGACCTCTTGTCGGTTCAACTGGCTAAAGTTGCTGAGGTAGCCAAGGAGAAAGACGAGCAACTTACGAAGTTGAAGGCTGAGCTCCAGGCTGTCCGGAAGGACCGATCTGATAAGGATGTTGAGCTGATCCGATGTCGCGAGGCTCATGAAGTCGCAATGGGTAAACTCCGACAAGAGATGACAACTACAGCTGAGCTCAAATTTCAAGAAGGCGTAGATGCCGGTAAAAAAGCCGTGGCAGATGCTGTAACCGAATGGGACTTGGAGTTAAATGCCGCACTGACACTACGCTGGGTTATCGACCGAGTAGAGAACGGAATCTACAGCATGGATGAGTTGCGGATTTTCCTTTTGGAAGAAATAGAGAAGCACGGCCTCAACCCTGAGATGAAGAGTGCCCACATACCAGCGGATCAAGATGAGCGGGACTTCGCCGACCGACTTCTAAAGCGGAAGGAAAGTCGGATGTTGGAACTAGATATGGTGCCTTTGTCGGAGGAACGCAAGGCTAAGATTCGTCGAGCTTTTGTCGATATGGTGCTTGAGGTAGAGAAGACCAAGAAGCCTGAAATGGCTAATATATGTGTGGAGACAATCGCTGAAGCATTTGTCGTTGAGACGCTTGAAGGCTTATCTGACGAAGATCTTCTGAATGCAATTATCAACTTTGCCTTACGAAAGGTAGCAGAAGAGGACGCCAAGGCCAAGGGATGGTTGGTTGATCCGGTCCCTTCCGACGATGATCGAGTTTTGCACGAGGATGATGACGTCGTCATCATAAAAGAAAGCGATGTCGTCCGAGCAATGGAGGAGAAGGAAGAGAAAGTAATTCAACGCCTAAGCCAGAGACTGATAGATCACATGGATGCTGCGGATAAAGGCAAGGCTGAAGCCGGGATTCCTCAATTTTCTTCAGCCGGAGAGGCGTCGTCGTCGGGGACCAAGAAAAATGAATGAAAGTTTATGTCAACTATTCGTTTTGTTGTTTGTTTTTGAAGTGTAATGACAATATTTGGTTTTGAATGAAATATTAATATTTAATGATTTCATTATTCTATTAAATGTACTGTCTTGACATATTATCATATCAAGTCAAAACATGTCGGAGAAGATAAATGAATGTTTGGCAAGTCATGCCTTCCGACGTAATGTTGGCATAATTTATATGAATTTTTTATATCGGTATAATTGATAGTATTTCCGACATCGATAAACTTCTTATTAGAGCAAGTCATAATCGACTTGTTTTTATTGTAAAAGTCTTTTAATGTTTCAAAGAACTTAAAGATTTATTGTAAGCTCATCAAATCAACGTCGGGATTTGATATTAAAGAGCATGAGCCTCCCCAAACCATCTTCAGGGCTTGGAAGTATCCGGCTCTGTCGCGTTTGGCTAGGTCACACCAACTTCAGGGTATGAAACATGTTTAGCCCTAGCAACGGGGACCGATTTATTGTGGTCCAAGTGATCGAACAAATTACAGGGGTTCGTCACACAAACTTTATTGACAACAAAATATTATCTTGTACATCGGCAAGACAAAAGTTTATGTACATCAGAAGTTATCGGGAATTACAGGCTGGTCCTTGGTTCACTGGAAGTACTTTTTTAAATAAGTCGCGTGCCAAGGATATTGAAGAGGAACGCCATCCAATGTCTCAAGTCGGTAGGTTTCATTTGACACCAAACGATTTACTTTGAAGGGTCCTTCCCATTTCGGTTGTAAGGGACCAATATTGGCCCCGGTGATCCTTTTCAGCACGAGGTCTCCTACAACAAACGAACGTGGTTTGAGTCTCGCATTGATGTACTTTTCACTACGTCGTTTATAAGCAGCATTTCGAATTTCTGCGTTGGCTCGTATTTCATCGACTAAATCGAGATTGGCTCTCAAGTTTTCTGAATTGAATTCTTCGGAAAAATGGGTAATTTGATACGTCGGAGAGACAAGTTCAACAGGTATCACAGCTTCAGTTCCGTATGCTAATGAAAACGGAGTTTCTCCGGTTGAATTTCGAGTCGTCGTCCGATAAGCCCAGAGGACATGGGGTAGCTCATCTGGCCACGATCCGTTTGCAGTCTCGAGTCGAGTTTTCAGACCATTCTTGATAATTTTATTCACAGCTTCTATCTGTCCATTAGCTTGTGGATGGTAAGGTGACGAGAAAAAGTGCTTGATGCCATAATCCTCACAAAAGCTTTCGAATCGTTTTCCTTCGAACTGACGACCGTTGTCGGTTATGACTGAGTTCGGTATTCCAAACCGACAAACAATTGACTTCCAAACAAAATCGATCATCTTCTGCTCAGTAATGGTTGCAAGAGGTTCGGCCTCGACCCATTTAGTGAAGTAATCAGCAGCTAGTATTGCAAACCGAACACCTCCTTTTGCTGTCGGAAGTGGGCCAATCAAATCAATCCCCCATTTTGCGAATGGCCACGGACTATATATTGACTTAAGGAGTTCAGGATGTTGATTAACATTCGGAGCAAATATTTGACACTTGTGACATTTTTGCACACAATCTGCGGCATCTTTTTTGATAGTCGGCCAATAGTAGCCTTGCCGGAGAATCTTGTGGGACAAAGCTTGTGCTCCTTGATGGGTTCCACAGACTCCTTCATGTACTTCTTGAAGAACACGCCGAGCGTCGGTTTCCGACAAGCACTTGAGTAATGGAGTAGAATATCCACGCTTATATAATGTCCCTCGATCAATTGTAAAATGAGCTGCACGGACACGAAGGGTGCGAGCTTCCTTTGGGTCTTCGGGGACGGCCCCGATTTGAAGGTAGTTGATAATTGGATCCATCCATGTCGGGTCCGGGATTGGCGAAGCAGCGTCGATCATGACGACGTCGGTAGAGACTGTTGATGAGGTCGCCTGTTGAGTAATTTGCACAAACTCGACATTGTTCAAATCGGTTGAAGAGGCCAAACGTGAAAGAGCATCTGCTTGAATATTAGATGACCGAGGTATGTGTTCTACCGTCATTCTGAACCGTGATAGCTTCTTCTTGACGAGAACAAGATAAGGTAACAACCAAGGCTCCTTAACTTCATAAGTGCCATTGATATGGCTGACCAACAACTGAGAGTCAAAAAATATTCGGAGAGAGGAAACATTCATAGATTCGGCAAAATGTAGGCCGGATAAGAGGGCTTCATATTCGTCTTCATTGTTGGTGGCCGGAAAAGTGAATGCTACAGAATAAAAAAACACTTGTTGATCAGGACTACCTAAGACAATTCCTCCTCCAGCTCGTATAGCAGTGGACGATCCATCAATGTAAAGAGTCCATGTCGGATCTTCAGTAGACGTGCTGACAATTGGAGTAAACTCCGCTATGAACTCAGACAACACTTGAGCTTTGATGGCAGTTCGTGGTCGATACTGAATGTCAAACTGTCCCAGTTCTATCGCCCACTTGATCATCCTTCCCGACGTGTCAGGTCGGTGGAGGACTTGTCGGAGAGGAAATGATGTAAATACAACAACAGAATGTTCCAAGAAATATGGACGCAACTTTCGCGCAGCAATGATCAGAGCAAAGGCCAACTTCTCCATATATGGATACCGCAATTCAGCGTCATGTAAGGCCTTGCTAATGTAATATATCGGGAATTGTTGAAGTCCATCTTGTCGTATAAGAACAGCATTAACAGTGACGTCACTCACACCCAAGTACAAAAACAAGGGTTCATCAGGAAGAGGCTTCTGTAACGTCGGTAATCGTGAAAGAACTTCTTTGATATTGTCAAAAGCATTCTGACATTCCGCATTCCATTTGAACGGTTTCTTTTTTTTAATAGCATAAAAAAACGGCTTACAATGATCCGTCAACTTTGAAATGAATCGGTTTAAAGCCGCCAGTCGACCAGTTAAAGCTTGGACACCTTTGACACATGTCGGAGGAGCCAATTCAAGTATGGCTCGAATCTTGGCAGGATTAGCTTCGATTCCTCTTTGACTCACCATGTATCCTAAAAATTTTCCTGACCCAACTCCAAAGGTACACTTCTTGGGATTAAGCACCATTGAATATTCTCGAAGAATGTCAAAAACTTTTGAAAGATGAGCAATATGTTCAGAAGCTTGTTCCGATTTCACCAGCATGTCGTCTACATAGACTTCCATCGTATGGCCGATCAAGCGTGCGAACATCTTATTGACCAACCGTTGATATGTAGCCCCAGCATTTTTCAATCCAAAAGTCATCATAACATAACAGTAGAGACCACGGGCTGAATAAAACGAAGTATGCTCAACATCATCAGGGTGCATGGGAATTTGATTATAACCGGAATAGGCGTCCAAAAAACTCATGAGTTGGTGTCCCGATGTAGCGTCTACCATGTAATCAATGTGTGGAATTGGATAGCTATCTTTTGGGCATGCTTGGTTCAAATCCGAGAAATCAATGCAGAGACGCCAAAGACTAGTAGCTTTCTTAACCAAAACAGGATTTGATATCCACGTCGGATATTTAGCTTCTTTAACAAATTTGTTGTCTATGAGCTTATTCACTTCCTCTTCAAGAGCCTTCTGGCGATCTGGACCGAATCTTCGGCATTTTTGTATAACGGGCTTGACAGTCTTATCCAAATTTAGGCGATGGCATGCCTTCTGCGGGTCTATCCCTTTCATGTCTTCGTGCTTCCAAGCGAACACATCGGAATTTGACTGAAGAAATTGAATTAAACACGAACGTACGGGTTCTTGAAGGTTAGCTCCAATACGCAATGATTTTTCCTGAGTCAGGCCATCCACATAAATAGTTTCGATATCTTCAACTGGCTCTGCTCGGACATGATGGTTCTTATCCTTGAATGGCATCCGTGGATCCATATCATCATGTATCCTAATGTCTTCCTCATGAAAAGACTGCTCTGGATCAAGGGCTTCATTTAGTGTTTCAGGCAAATCCGACGTCGCAGGGACATCGGTATCAGCTATAAGGGGGATGTCGGTAACTGAAGCAAATTGAGTAGTTCTTCGAACATCAGGAAGGGATAAATCGCTTAACTCAGTAAAGTTACCAGTTTCCTGTTCTTCGACGATATGAAAGCTACGCGAGGCCGAAAGCAACGTCAGACTCCGGGCTTCTCGTTAATCTCCGTAATGGGTGCCTTCTCCTTCAATGGTAGGGAACTTCAAGGCATAATGAAAAATTGACACAGCAGCACGGAGCTTGTAAAGCGCAGTTCGTCCTACAACAGCATTATATTCATTCTGGACATCCAAGACCTTGAAAGTTTCCATGATAATCTTGGATTTTGGTCCAAAACCGCCAAATCGAATAGGGAGTAATATTTCACAAACAGGGCGAGAGATGCTCCCATTGAAACCTTGAATTTGGTCGTTGCAAGGTCTAATATCAGCTGGGTCCAGACCCAATTTCTTGAAAGTGCGGAGCATCAAAATGCTTGAATAAGCCCCTGTATCGACCATAATTCGGTGGACGGGAATCCCTCCAATCGGGGCTGTGATAATAAGGGCGTCGGAATGAGGATGAGCGAATAGATTAGCGTCTTCGATACTGAATGTGATAGGACAATTTCGCTGATTGATGGTATCTCGAAGATCAACGTTCATGACTCGTTTCTCGGCATTTTGTGCCTCCCTGACATAAGCTTTGGCCTTCCGTCGAGAAGTATCCAACTGTTTAGCATTAGAATTGACTCGAGGGATGCAATGTAGAGAGCCTGATGGGTCGTGTGCTTTGGAGTTTTTGCAGTTATCGGCCGACGTGCCGGCAAAAGTAGAAAACGTGAAAACCTCCTTATCGTTCGCGGGGCTTTTTTCGGATTAACAAGTCGGTTATCATCTTCTTCATCATCTGACAGATCCAAAGGCCTCCCTTTCCGGCGATTATCAAAACTTCTGAACTTTTGAAGTTGAGGTTGTCCAATTAATCGTAAAAGGGCCGACAAAAGACCGAGACATTCATCGGTATTATGTCCCGGAGACTTGTGGTATGCACAGTATCGAGATTTGTCTAGCTTGTCTTCAGGATTTCTCACGGGTCTTGGGTCTGGAATAATCCCTTTTCCTTTCAGTTCTTCATAGATGGTAGCTGCTCCAGCTGAATAAACGGCCTGATAGCCTATCCTGACATTGTCTGAATACTGATCACGAGCAGCCCTAGACTCTTGTAACGCCCCGTTCGATTTATAGAATTTCTCAGAATATTCTATTTATCGAATATTATTTATGAGATTATAATTATTTTGATAGTCGCGATGTCATCTTGAATAAAAGGTTGGAG